AACATGAAACATTTCTTAAAGACTTTCCATAGTAATTTTTTAACTCATAAATTTAGACTATGAGTACTATAATAATCTAATACTTAAATCCATTGAAGTATCCACGACAAATTTAATTTTACAAACAAATATATTACATTCAGAATTGAGCTTTATATATATATATATATATATATATATATATATATATATATATATATATATATATATATATATATATATATATATATATATATATATATATATATATATGATTTTAAAATGCCCTATGTACTGCAGAGGAAAACTAAGGAAACTACCAACTAGGTACTGTCAACAACAAGATCTATATTTCAGTGACCCATTGAATGTTGTAAAAATACAACTCACCACAAGTAAGCTTCATCCAGGCATCAGTAGAAAAATAAAGTACCCTTCTTGCACACGGTTAGTCCAGTTGAGTGTCTTTACCTTTTCTGTTTATTCCATACCTGCTGGAACTGGGTCATATATTTCCCCACTACGGTACCATAACCTCAGGTGTAACCTTTGCTTGGTGTGTCGGCTGAACTTTAGGTACCAAGGGATGCATGTTTTCTGCTCACCTCTGTGTGCCTGTACTGTGACGTATGCTCACTACTTACGTAGAAGATTGACACAAAGCGCCCCAGCGCCCCATCTACGCTTGTATCTGGTGTTTTAGTTGAATTAGGTTCGCCATACAACAATATCGTGTAGTTTGGAAGTTGAAGAAAATAACAAATAAACACATTAAGGATCAGTACCCCAGCAATACCTGGATTAGAGTTTTCACAGATGGCTCAGCTGAAGATGCCACAAAAAATGGCGGGGCTGGCATCCTTATTGAATGGCCAAGCGGAGAAAGCCTGGAAAAGGCAATAGCCACAGGCAGCCTATCCGACAATTTTAGGGCAGAAAAAGAAGCTTTAGAACACGCAGCAAACCTCCTGTCAGAACACCCTGAATCACCGAATAGTCAGATTGTATTTCTTACAGATGCCAAATCAGTCCTGCAATCCCTACAAAATCCAGAGTCCTATATTCAAACACTTATGACAGCACTAGAGAGGCTAAAAAATACCTGCAGCAGAATTGTGCTGCAGTGGATCCCGGGCCACTGCCAGATCCGGGGTAACGAGATCGCAGACCAGCTGGCAAAAATTGGGGGAAAGAAACCACAACCGGAAATTTCGCTACACCCAAAAGAAATAAAAAGAATAATAAAAAACAAACAAACGCAAATGTGGTCTGTCACACACCCTCACTACATTAAAGACGACGGCTATTACAATTTAACACGAAAACAACAATACATAATCTTTCGACTTTTTTTTGGAACAGGCCACAACAGACTAAATCAACACATGCACAGAAAACTGAAGGTTGGGTGTAGCGAAATGTGCCCTTGTGGCAAGGCCCCGGAAAACACGGAGCACGTACTCCAGGAATGTACTCTGTATGGCCAGGCAAGAGTCAGACACTGGCCCCAGCCCACCCCACTCAGGGAAAAATTATATGTGACACCTGACAAACTGGAGACCACAGTCCGGTTTGTCCACGAAGTTGGACTTGTTGTCTGAATCCTCCACCATATTAAAAAATTAAGAACGAAGAAGAAGAAAGAAGAAGGAAGTTGAAGACTTTAGGGCGCCATACAACGTTATCGTGTATGTTGGATTGTTAAGGTTTTAGGGCGCCATACTACGTTATCGTGTATGTTGGATTGTTAAGGCTTTAGGGCGCCATACATTATCGTGTAGGTTGGATTGTTAAGGCTTCAGGGTACCATACAACATTATCGTGTATGTTGGGTGTTGAAGGCTTTAGGGCACAACCTCAACTTTTGTTAGGTATTTAGTTAAATACGAGGTAAAAAATTAAATTATGCAGGAAAATGTTGGTAGATCATTGTGTCAAGCCTGTGTACCGTGTCGGCTTTCTGTTTTGATTTTATGCTTTATGTAATCAGTGTTTCTTTTTCTCCGGGGGTGCACTTGAAATTTTCGAGGGGGGGGGGGGGAGCGGACACTCTCAAAAGTGTATGTTTTCTATATAAATTCCATTTCGTTCTCTGTATGTAATGAACGTGATTTCGTTCAAACTTTCCGGATACGTTCCACTTCGATGACAATACAATTATATCTACTTTTTAATTTAAAAGATGTTATATTAGTCATTAAAAATTAAACTGGTTCAAAAGGGGTGATAACAATATTAAATCACTCGATAGATCACTATATTCCATAACAGAAGGGGAGTTAAATAATCCCCTTTCACGAGCTACTGATTGTGTTTTAAAGCAAATATTTTTAGTTGCAGCATTGGTAGGTATAGTTTAAGAATAACTAAAAGGTAGAAAATAAAACTATCATCATAAAACTAGCAGCCACAACACATGAACGACCTAACCCTCCAAAAGCAATGAATAATAGTTTTCCTGCCAGATATTACACAGATATCTTCAACAATTGTCATCAGATCTCTAAACACTGGAACTTGTCCATTTTCTATTGGTGAGTGATCAGTGTTTCTTCCAGACTTTTTTTTATTCCGGGGGGGGGGGGGGGGGCACTTGAAATCTTCGGGGGGGGGGGGGGGGACGGTAAACTTTCTTCGGGGGGGGGGGGGCGGACACTGTTAAAAGTATATACTTTCTATATAAATTATATAAATTTCATTTCGTTCGGGGGGGGGGGGGGGAGGTAAAAAATTTCGCGCCCCCCCCCCTCCGTAGAGATGCCTGGAAGAAACTCTGGTAGTGATGCCCTATAAAGCCAGCATCTGAATATTTGTCTAGAATATCCTGAGTACGATACTTTAAAAATTCCCCTTTAGTGCAAAGGCAAAATATGTCCTGGATCTCATCCTGTTTTAAGCATTGAATGCCATGAGTTAAATTCCTCCACTGTTTTAAGCATTGAATGCCATGAGTTAAATTCCTCCATCTGTTTTAAGCATCGAATGCCATGAGTTAAATTCCTCCATCTGTTTTAAGCATTTAATGCCATGAGTTAAATTCCTCCATCTGTTTTAAGCATCGAATGCCATGAGTTAAATTCCTCCATCTGTTTTAAACATTTAATGCCATGAGTTAAATTCCTCCATCTGTTTTAAGCATTGAATGCCATGAGTTAAATTCCTCCATCTGTTTTAAGCATTTAATGCCATGAGTTAAATTCCTCCATCTGTTTTAAGCATTGAATGCCATGAGTTAAATTCCTCCATCTGTTTTAAGCATTTAATGCCATGAGTTAAATTCCTTCATCTGTTTTAAGCATTGAATGCCATGAGTTAAATTCCTCCATCTGTTTCAAGCATTGAATGCCATGAGTTAAATTCCTCCATCTGTTTTAAGCATTGAATGCCATTAGTTAAATTCCTCCATCTGTTTTAAGCAATAAATGCCATGAGTTAAATTCCTCCATCTGTTTCAAGCATTGAATGCCATTAGTTAAATTCCTCCATCTGTTTTAAGCATTGAATGCCATGAGTTAAATTCCTCCATCTGTTTTAAGCATTGAATGCCATGAGTTAAATTCCTCCATCTGTTTAAAGCATTTAATGCCATGAGTTAAATTCCTTCATCTGTTTTAAGCATTGAATGCCATGAGTTAAATTCCTCCATCTGTTTCAAGCATTGAATGCCATGAGTTAAATTCCTTCATCTGTTTTAAGCAATAAATGCCATGAGTTAAATTCCTCCATCTGTTTCAAGCATTGAATGCCATTAGTTAAATTCCTCCATCTGTTTTAAGCATTGAATACTTACTTACTTACTTAATCCTCATCACTCCCTGTGGAGTATAGAGCAACAACAAATCTCCGCCATTCCACCCTGTCCTGGGCGAGCCACTTTAGTTCATGCCAGGTTTTGCCAGTAGCCTGTACTTCTTCTTCCATCTCCCTCCTCCATGTTCCCAGTGGTCTTCCTCTACTTCTCTTTCTGGGTGGGTTCCACTTCAGCGCCATGTTGGGGAGTCTTTTTTTGCTCATGCGTAGGACATGGCCCAGCCATCTCCATCTCCTCGTTCTAACTTCTGAGACAATGTCGTTTAATCCTGTCCTTCGCCATATTTCCTTGTTTGGGACTTTGTCGTCCCACTTTATCCTGAGGATGCGTTGGAGGGATCTTCTTTCAAAGCCTCTGAGTCGGCTGTCTACTTTCTTGTTTAGTTTCCATGACTCTGCAGCATAGAGGAGTACAGAACGTACATTAGACTTATAGATCCTTATTTTAGTTCTCTGCTGCAGTGAGGATGATTTCCAGATCTTAGCGAGTCTGTTAAAAGCTTGTGCTGCCATTGCTATTCTGGTGGCAATTTCTTTCTCCATGCTGCCATTTGCTGATATATAGCTGCCGAGGTACTTAAAGTCTTCGACCTCTTCTAGCTCTGCTCCATTCGCAAAGGTCTTGAGAGCACTTTTGGTTTTTATTTTCATTAGCTTGGTTTTTCCGGAGTTTATCTTTAGCCCAACGCTTTTGGCAATTTGCTCTATTCTTGTGGTTTTCGCTTGGATGTCTTTTTGGGCATGTGAAAGTAAAGCCAAGTCATCAGCAAAGTCACAGTCCTCTAGGTGGTTGGTAAGTTCCCAAACAATTCCTCTTGGCTTATCCTCAGTGGCTCTTCTCATAATCCAGTCTATTACCACCAAAAAGATGACAGGTGAGATGACACAGCCCTGTCTGACTCCTGTTTTTACCTTGAACCATTCACTTTGCTGATTTTCGTGTCGCACACAGCATTGGTTATCATAGTACATGTCCTTAAGTATGTTTATGACTTTTCCTGGAAAGCCATATAGCTCTAGTATCTTCCATAATGATGGATGGTGGATGCTATCAAATGCTTTCTCGAAATCTATGTAGTTGATGTAGAGAGACGAATTCCACTCCAGGGACTGTTCCACTATAGTGCGAAAGACAAATATTTGGTCGTTACATGACCTGTTGGCCCTGAAGCCAGCTTGTTCTTCACGAAGGATCCCATCAATTCCTTTCCTCATTCTTTGTAATAGGACTCTGCAGAAGACTTTCCCTGGTACTGACAGAAGATTAATGCCTCTCCAGTTCTCACAAACATTAAGGTCGCCCTTTTTGGGTAATTTGATAATGATTCCCCGTTTCCAAGAATCTGGGACTTTTTCTTCATTCCATACTTTGTTGAAGATCCCTAATAGAGTTTCTGCACCTATTTTAACACGTTTTTAACACGTTTTTATTAACTCAGCTTCGCGTGTGTTTGTTGTTAAAATTGACATCGAAAATTAGCCCACTTCTGATTGCTCTATAGATCTGAAATTTGGCATGCAGGTTACTTTCGCCTAACAATTTCAGATGCAATCATAAAAACTAGCAATTAGAGACCGTAATTAGCTTAATTTAATTACGCCCAAAGGACCATAAAATTGAGGACATGATTTCTAAAGATACCGACAAGACTGGAGGCTTGTTGACACAGTTACTTCGGCCCCAATCGATGTGAGCGCGCTGGCCGTGATCGTATAGTGGTTAGTACTTCGCGTTGTGGCCGCGACAACCCAGGTTCGAATCCTGGTCGCTCAAGATTTTTTTAGTCCGTGTATTTATAAACACTTAGTCAATTCATACTTAATCAAGTCATTAGATAAAGTAGAAAATAAACTACATAAAAAACTTTTTTAAAAAACACGTTTTTCATGTGTAGCAACGGACTAAAAAGGAGAAAATAAAATACTTAAAAAAAACTTTTTAAAAAACCACGTTTTTCTTGTGGACTAAAAAGTAGAAAATAAATTTTCATACATTTGATGACAAAAAACGTGGGTACGTTCACCATCAAATTTCCCGACCCATCTGCCCGACCCACGTTTTTTGTCATCAAATGTATGAAAATTTATTTTCTACTTTTTAGTCCACAAGAAAAACGTGGTTTTTTAAAAAGTTTTTTTTAAGTATTTTATTATTAACTCAGCTTCGCGTTTGTGTGTTTGTTGTTAAAATTGACATCGAAAATTAGCCCACTTCTGATTGTTCTATAGTTCTGAAATTTGGCATGCAGGCTACTTTCGCCTAACAATTTCAGATGCAATCATAAAAACTAGCAATTAGAGACCGTAATTAGCTTAATTTAATTACGCCCAAAGGACCATAAAATTGAGGACATGATTTCTAAAGATACCGACAAGACTGGAGGCTTATTGACACAGTTACTTCGGCCCCAATCGATGTGAGCGCGCTGGCCGTGATCGTATAGTGGTTAGTACTTCGCGTTGTGGCCGCGACAACCCAGGTTCGAATCCTGGTCGCTCAAGATTTTTTTAGTCCGTGTATTTATAAACACTTAGTCAATTCATACTTAATCAAGTCATTAGATAAAGTAGAAAATAAACTATATAAAAAACTTTTTTAAAAAACACGTTTTTCATGTGTAGCAACGGACTAAAAAGGAGAAAATAAAATACTTTAAAAAAACTTTTTAAAAAACCACGTTTTTCTTGTGGACTAAAAAGTAGAAAATAACTATTTACATACATTTGATGACAAAAAACGTGGGTCGGGCAGATGGGTCGGGAAATTTGATGGTGAACGTACCCACGTTTTTTGTCATCAAATGTATGTAAATAGTTATTTTCTACTTTTTAGTCCACAAGAAAAACGTGGTTTTTTAAAAAGTTTTTTTTAAGTATTTTATTTGGGTCTGCCTTTAGCATCTCCGCAGTGATTCTGTCCTCTCCTGGAGCCCTATTGCTTTTTGTTTTTTGGATAGCTTCTATTATTTCTTGTTCTAGGATGGGTCCTCTATACATTTCAAAATGTATGTTCATGTCAGTGAAGTCAGCAGTTTCTTCTGGGTCTGGTCTGTTTAGGGTCTCTTCGAAGTATTCAGCCCATCTTTTCAATTGATGTTTCTCCGTTGTAAGAACTTTCCCGTTTTTGTCCTTGATAGTAGATGATCTATTTGCTATTCCTCCTGTTAGAGTCCTGATAATCTTGTAGACTGTTCTGCTATCTCCCTTATCAGCTGCAGCCTGTGCTTCTGTGGCCATTGTGTCTACATAGTTCCTTTTATCCTTCCTAGCATTCCTTTTTACCTCTTTTTGCAGTCTTCTATATTCTACATCGTTCCGTACCCTGCTTTCCATGGTTCCAGATAGTGTTTTGATTTTGGCTTCTCTTCTCTTTTCAATGAGATTCCAAGTATCGTTTGAGATCCATTCCTTCCTTTGTTTGTTCCTGTGTCCTAGTATGCATTGGCTTGTTTTCGTGTATACATCCAGGATCTTCTCGCATTGAGTATTGGTGTCCTCTTCTGGTAGGTTCTCGAGTAGACTAAATCTATTTTTTAGTTCAATTGCGAAGTTTGCCTTAATGGTGGGATCTTTTAGTTTAGCTGAGTCAAATAGCTGGTGGTTTACTTTCCTGTCAACTCTCTTAAGCCTGAGTTGTAGTTTGCACAAGACTAGATTATGGTCGCTACCCACGTCAGCTCCTCTTATCGCCTTTACATCCCTCATGGATCTTCTCCACTTTTTATTTATAGCAATGTGATCGATTTGATTGCTGGTTCGCTTATCTGGGGATATCCAAGTGGATTTGTGTATTTCTTTGTGCTGAAATAAGCTGCCACCTATAACCAGACCATTTTCTAGGCAAATCTCTCTAAATCTTTGGCCGTTGTTATTTGCCTCTCCCAGCCCCTCCTTACCCATGCAGATCTCGTATCCTTCATTACTGGCCCCTATTTTTGCATTCATGTCTCCCATGACCACAAGAATGTCATGTTGTGGAGTCCTGTCGATTTGATCTTGTAGAGTGTGGTAGAACATGTCTTTGTCTTCATCCTTTGCTTGTTCTGTCGGGGCGTAGCACTGTATTACGGTAATCTTTACATGTCTTGAGTAGAATCTGGCTCTAAGCATGCGAGAATTGATTGGTTCCCACCCTATTAGGCTTTTCCTTGATATTTTATCCATGATAATACCAACTCCTTCCTGGTGTTGGTTATCAGATCTCCCAGAATAGATTATAGTTTCTCCTGATCCGAGTGTAGTCAGGCCTGAGTCTGTCCATCTCATTTCGCTGATACCCAGGATGTTGATCCTGTATCTTGACATTTCCTTGACCACTTGAGCTGTTTTGCTAGTTTCGTACATGGTACGCACATTCCAAGCTCCTATTCGTGTAATAATTTTGGGGGTTACTAAGGACTGTTTCAGAGTAGAGACTTCCTTGCGGCTTTCATCTAGACTCGTCATATCAGGCAAAGCTGCCTCGATCCTCGGTTGCTCTCCCATGATGGTTTGATTTAGATCTGTTGCCGTTTCTCTAGCGTTTTTGTTTTTACATGGTGGGTTGCTAGCCCAAACCCAAAACCCTCCTCCTTTCCCATTCTGGACTTGGGACCAGACAATGGCGGAGTTAAGCATTGAATGCCATGAGTTAAATTCCTCCATCTGTTTTAAGCATCGAATGCCATGAGTTAAATTCCTCCATCTGTTTTAAGCATCGAATGCCATGAGTTAAATTCCTCCATCTGTTTTAAGCATTGAATGCCATGAGTTAAATTCCTCCATCTGTTTTAAGCACCGAATGCCATGAGTTAAATTCCTCCATCTGTTTTAAACATTTAATGCCATGAGTTAAATTCCTCCATCTGTTTTAAGCATTGAATGCCATGAGTTAAATTCCTCCATCTGTTTTAAGCATTTAATGCCATGAGTTAAATTCCTTCATCTGTTTTAAGCATTGAATGCCATGAGTTAAATTCCTCCATCTGGTTTTAAATTGACACCCCGGAAGACCAAATATGCCTAGCTTTTGTTGGCATCCAGTAAATTCAAGGTCAAGTCAATCTACTTCGAAAGGCGACAAATCATGATTGGATTCATCTTCGTCTTCTAAACAAACCGGGAGTGATCTCCCCTAAACAAATTCTGCATAATAGTGCGGAATATTATTAGTACTTTATAAATTTACATGCTTTTTTTTTCGAGAAATCGGAAATGGCGTAAATTAGTACTTCCGGTCAACGGAAATTACTCAAAATTTGAAAGAAGGTAGAGAATTAGATCTGTTACTTACATGTGAAATTTCATTTATCTATCTGAAATAGTACTCAAGTTATAGGCTTTTGAAAAATTCAAAGTAGAAAAAACCCACTTCCGGTTATCGGAAATCGCTCAAAAGTTGATACGGATCTACGATTTTGATAAAATACTTATATATGAAATTTCATCAACATAGCTGTAACGGTACTCAAGTTGTTTACACACAGACACACAGACATACGGACAAGATTGCAAAATTATTTTTTTCCGTATCAGTGAGGTGTAAGACGTCGAGATTTGTAAAAATCTCAATTTTTTTTGCACGATTACAAGACTTTCTCTATACTTCGTATATACGAGAAAGTAAAAACTATCCTCATTAGAACTATTGTTTTGCCTTTCGAAAAGATGACTAGGCTAGCTTGGGCCCAGCGTGAGCTTGATGTGCAAAGAACTTTTACATTGGAATTTTAATATTTGTATTATAAAAAGAATTTTAAAAAGAAAGCGTGAATCCAGTTTCTTTTGTACTGTAGAAATAATTTAAAAAAGCCACCCCCCCCCCAAATCTTTCTAATCGGGGAGGGGGGAGTGCACAAGGCCCATCGGTATTAATAACACTATAGGCCTTTTAGACTATAAATAAACTTGAACATTGACTCTTTTGTGAGATTGAAATCCGGCACCCGCTAATTCCATCCATCCATGATTACAATGAGCCTTTTTAAAAAAAAAGAACAGCCGTGGACAGCGTTTTCACAACAAGCTACGTAAAAAATATGTTAATGTTTCTCTAGGGATACGGAGGGCTACTATAATCAATGGCTAAAGAAAATAAGGGGTGTCCTCCAGCCGCCTCGGCAGTAGTATACAGATGGGCGCCCCAAGTCTCTCCATTACGATAATGTTATGAAACAAGTTGTAGATATGCCTTTTGGGTCAGTAACTTGGCCATCCTAAGTATCGAACTTACAGAAACAGCTAAAATATACTTCAAGGAACATATTAATCACTTTGCAAACTTATAAGAAAGAAAAATAAAACAAAGCTAAATAGCAGCGTCACAAGGTTCGATATTATCCGGTACGTTTAGTGAGTGTCACTCCCAACCCGTCTAACAATTTTGCATTTCTGGTGGAGTGTTACCCCTTCTCCTTAATATTTTATTATTTTAACTGGATAAAACTTTGACAATAAATTTTACGAGTTTTCGTCATGGTGTCACGCCTAAATTGTGAGGCCCCCGCCTCTGTAAGCTACTATGTTAGTTTACTTAAAGGTTACATGCTTACAACTAATTTGTTAATTTGTTTTTTCATGAAAGTGATATAAAATCAAAGATATTTTACGCTACGGGGTACTACATAATAATAACGTATAAATACACAACTATGGACGTATAAAATCCACAATTTACAGATTAACGTAGGGCCCAATAATAATTTTTGCATAGGGGGCCGAAAATCCTAGCTACGCCACGGGGCCTGCTCACCAAATTCAGACAAGACAAACACGGCTGATGCCACTGATATGGTTGGCTTGTTAAAATGTCATTTATACCAATAAATTCAATTTTTTTTAAAAGTGTGTGTGTGTGTGTGGGGGGGGGGGGTGTCAGAGCTTACTCCGAAGAGATAAGCTACCGCGCATAAACTAAAAACAATATTAACTTGAATTAAGATCGAGTCTATGCAGAGATAGGCTGTTAGGTTATTGTCTGGTATTATGGGCAGCGCTGGGGTGATGTTAAAAACAATCATCGGACAAACGTCCACTTTTTTTAAGGAGCGGCTAAAATGTAAACAAACCAATCCAGTGTGTCAATGAAAGTACGGAAATAGACTTGGTACGTACGTTATGAAGCTTTAGCTTGTAATGGCATGCAGCCAATGTATTAAACGTGGTCTAAACTATTACAATTTATTAATACAGTTATCTAAAACGCGAAATAACGTCTAAAATTCGTTTTCTAACATTGCTTTTTTATAATGCAAAAATGTGACGTCGCAACATCTGACCCCCCCCCCCTCCCCCTCATCACACATCGTCACAAAATTACGGACCCCCCCCCCCCTCCCCCCTACGAGTGTGACGTCATTTATGGATGACCCCATGGTTAATGTTATGTTAGTATGTAGAGTTTTGTAGCACACGGAAAATTAAGTGGCTATTAATAGGCCTCAATAGCTTTCTGATTAAATACGTGACATAATCAGCCATAAAAGCGCTGCTGATGTCCATCTTACCGTTATCTACACACCACCAGCGAACCAGTACTCTATTCCTATACATTCCTTTTTGGGCGTTCCCCAACATGGATTTGGCATGTAAATAAAATAAATAAACACTCCTACGTCACGTGACAAAATTCTGTCCAAGATGGCGTCTTAATCTGAAAGAGGTGACTCCTAGCAGAAGTAGACTAGTGGGTTGGTTGTTATTGTTTGAACCATTTAAATATATTTTTAACTTAATATTAGGATATAGAATCTAGATTATCTAGATCTTAAATTTAGCTAGAATATAGATCTAGATAGATCTAATCTAGATTTAGTTTTCTGTTGAAAAAAAACGTTTTGAAGTGTGAGTCTCTGTGTAGTCTCTGTCTGTGCCACAGTCTGTGTAGAGTGCTACTTCAATCAAATTCAAAACTGGAAAATCAAATTCGGGGGTAGATATCTAGATCTAGGCCTAAATAGTAAATATAATCTAAAATCTTCTAAACTTCTAATCTATCATTTAATTTAGAATTTAGGGCTAATCGTTTTATTAATTATATTTAGGCCTATATTTAACTATATTAACTTTAAGTTTTAGGTGCGTAAGGCACGGTAAAGTCGGCCAAGGCTACTAATGTGAAAAAAAAAGTGGGATGATTTTAGATACCGATGTCCGATAATTGCGATAATACTAGACTAATAGACTCTTCCATAAAATAGGTGTGTTGGGTTGTTAGGCCTAGTTGTTAGTAGCATTATGGCAGGAAACAGATTCAACCCTCAAGCATCTACTTTTAGGGTCGATTTTCGCCAATTTTCAAAGTAACAATTATTGGCATATTATATATCAATTTTGTTGCTTAACAATCGAGGAATTCAAAAATATAAAAATTAATAGCACTAGACATTTACATCACGTTCAAAATGTAGATTAACCACACTCACTCAACTGAGATTTTTTTTTACATCTAAATGTAGTGAGGTCCAAAAATCCACGAAATTCACAAAATTAACGATATAATTACACAGAAATGTCACTTAGGCATACATTTATTTGTAATTATGTCAAACTTTACAAAATATACCAGTTTATAGCTTATTTCTATAATTATTCTTGAAGAAAAAAACGACCGCCCTCCCCTTTAAAATTCTGGCGTTTAGAAACACTCTGGGGAAGAAAAAAATAACAGAGTTAAATATAGAAGGTTTATATAAAAAAACATAATTAATAAAATATGTCTATATGCCAATTTTTAATATAGTTGCAGCATTTACATGGCTAATTATAATTGTTTAGTACTTTGAACATTAATTTAAAGTTACGACTGTCTGTGGCGTCATTCAAGTGTAGTGTCAGTGTAGGTGAACAGGGTGTTAGGGCCTGATACGATTTCATTAGAATTGGTAATGAACAGAATGTATAATTAGAACTGGCATATAAAAACAATGTTGATAATAGATGCAGTTGTTTTAATGCTACTTATAATAGATCAAAATGACAAACATAATTAAAACCTAAGAATCTGGAAGTGGTGACCTCATTTTACTGACACGGTTGTCAAATAGTAAGTGAATAGATCTAGATTTAGAATCTACGTAATTTTGAAAATACATACGCTAGTTCTAGAAGCAAAATCACTTTTAAAAACTGAAGTTAGTGATTAGATCTATAATGAAATTGAAATCAACAACTGATATGTAAGTATCTTTTGATTTAAAAAAAAATACGCTTAGTTCTAAGAAAAAAAATTCTATGGTGTACTCGATCCCAATCCCAAAACGTGCCAGCCATATCGCATGCGTAGTCAGCTACTCAGCTGCTTATCAAATCGATGAATTTTAAAATTATATAATAAAAGTAGGTCACCCTAAAAAAAAGAGTAAAATGGCTCCCGTTTTCACGACAGCCGTCACTCGATTCATAATTTACAGAGTTATAAAGTTCTACTTTCTTTTGGCTATAGATTTAAAGAAATATTAATTTGTTATTTCTCATGCGTTCCAACAATTGTACCTAATTTTAATAAACATTAGATTAGTAAGGACTCGATTCTTTTTAGAATTAGCCCTCGACACTATACAGACTATTGCGAAGAAACAGACTCGCGCGACTGTCGTGCGAAGGTTAGAACCCAATTTGCGACGGAAATTTTTTACTTTGAAATAACTACATTATCAATTAATTTCGATTTAAAACAAATGGCTTAAAGTCAAAAGTAAACTAAAATTTAAAAACTTTGTTATTCGCAGTGTACTCAAGATTCTCGTGTTTTAAAGATAAGTCTAGTTTTACTACGTGTGCATGCATGGTGCGAATACCGATTTTCCGCGACAGAAAATCATTAAAAATATAAAAAAAAGTATCTACGACAAAATAATAATTATATTTTACAGAATTAAATAGATTTAACTTAACTGTTATTTAAATACATGCTTCGGAGTAAAAAAATACAATTTTATATCCGTAAAAAATTAACTGAAATTCCCGCTTTCAGCGACGCCGATGTGTCGTAATTTTCGGCAGTCATTTTGTTCAAATTAAAGTAAAAAACGCATTCAAATATACTTTTTTTTACTTTCATAATTTACAGCAATCATTTCTAATGAAAAATCCATAAAAAAATAATAGTTATTTTTACAAAATATTATTTCTTACCTCATTAGTGCAGTACACGTACTTTCCAAGTAGATCCATTCCGTCTAGATTTGCATACTTCGCATCCTTCGCCGCGGCACAAAATGTCATAAAAAACGAATTCCACAAAAATGTTGCTAATGAAGCTTGTAAAAACCTTGCTCTATTTATCAGTATAAACAAAATCCCCGAACGATGTCTGGTTAGAAAGTTTATGAACGGCGAAGACCGAATATGCATTTTGCGGTACCAATCTGTTTCCTGCCTTATTGTAATCTCAACTAATTTTATGGTTTGTAGAATTTAAGGTTAGGGTTTGGCGTATGGCGTATCATGGCGTATGGTAGGACCAGTGTTTGGGTTAGGGACAGGGTTAGCATTGACATTAGCCAGTCATGTGTTTAATTAGTTAACTACCATTAATCTAACACCCCTTTTTTAAAGAAGATTCCATTATTGGACACAGATATAAAAATTCCCCCAGACATGCACTTCCACTTCATCACACAACAATTTTCAATTTAATTGATAGACCCTAGGCCTACAGAGAATAGTATCTAAATTATTTGAGATACCCATTTAGTATTTAAAATATTTTTAATATCATGTATGCCTAAGGTTTGATTAAAATTAATATGTTTGTAAAAACGGGTGTGGGGAAATTACGAGACGCGAAAAGCAAAATGGCGAGGCGGGAAAATGCGAGAAGGTAATGCGAGACATACCTGCGGAATTAAGGGTAAATAGCGAGACACTTTTTGCGAAAAAAGTTTTTTTCTTTTTTTTTCCATCTTTATTTATTTAAATTATTTTTTTTTGTTTGTTTTAAAATAAACAAGCATTTAGCCATACCCTTTAACACGAGTGTTGTATGTTGTTATTTTTTATCTAGATACTAAGAAGATAGATATACCTATATCTAGATCTATCTATTTAAAAATCCTAACATCGTTGTTGTGCTACTGTCATCGCCCGCTCTTGTTAGCGAGAGGAAAATCCCGTCTCAGTCGGCATTAATTTAAAAATCTAGCCCGCTCATGTTTATACAAACGTGAGCTGTGTCATTGTGAATTGGTATAATCTTGTCAGCAGGAGAGATATTTTGCAACATCTATTTATGGATTTTTGTACTTGCAAAAAGTGTAAAAGTATAAACAATTCTAAAAAGTGCAACTTATTTTTTTATTAAGTAATTTTAATTACAAACAAAATTTACAAACAAAATCTTCTGAAACAGTCCTCAAACACACCTCGTGACACCATCTTTCACACATAGTACACCCAACGCAGTTCATTAGACTCCCATTTATACATTTTTCTTTTGCTACTTCTTCCAATCCACATTCACAACATTTCACATTCTCATCACAGTTGACCTCCTCGTTCATCCCTCAAACAACACTGGCACCCATGTTCTCATCATCATTATCCGCACGCTCAACATCTGTTTTCCGTTTTTTATAATTTGTATTTTTTATCATTTCTGTAATTTTGGCAATGTCTTGCTCATTGTTGTCACCAGCAGTTGAGTTTTTTAAAAACATCGATATTTTCCCAAATCGTGTCTAATTTCTGTCAAAATAGAGTATTTTAATCAATTCCTATTACAATGTATTAAAACAGTTTTCTAAAACGCGAAAAAACGTCTAAAATTATTTTTCTAACATTGCTTTTTTATAGTGTGACTTCACATCTAACCCCCCCTCCTCCCCCTCATTACACATCGTCATAAAATTACAGACCCCCACCCCCCCCCCCCCTACGAGTGTGACGTCATTTATGGAAAACCCCAAATAACACCACCACCAAAACCATAAAATTCAGATAAGTTCAACTTGGTTTTAAAAATATTTGAAGTAGGCCCATAGCTTACGATATAGCACGAGCAACTGATAATATCGGTGACGTCACTTTATTTTGTTGTATCCAAATGATATAGGCATTTCCTTGTGCTTAGATTTATATGGTAAAAAGCGATGAAAAATGTGGGGCGCCGTGATTTTCTTACAGTTTATAATACTGTTGACTCTCTACAAGCTCCCTAATAAAAGTCAATAGTATTATCTAATCAATAGTAATATACCTTTTACTTCGGCGCCCCACGTTTTTCATCGCTTATAGTAGAGTGATCGCTTGCATTATTTTGATGTATAGCATTTATTTTCTACTTTTTAGTTCAATCAGAAAATGTGGGTTTTTAAAAACTTTTTTAATGATAATTATTTGTCTTATGAAAGTGAAACTTCAGGTAATAACTTAGGCTTGATGCAAATAAATAGAAATGTAGCCTTAAGCCTTAAACTCAAAAATTATTTTTAAGCTTTCTGGATTTGTAACTGCTCTATAACATCGATTCTAAAAGTGTTAAATTTCTGAATTATTTTCAGGCTTGAATTTTATTTTTTGTTATTTCTGCTGTCGCTTTGATTGCGTAATCTAAAAAAAAATTGTTTTTTTTATCTGTCAACAATAATGATGGAAAGATTCTTGTCACCACAAAAAATAACATTCTTTTAGGCTCACTAGTTAGTACTGTTTTTTTTTTTTTGAAAAAGTTTTAGGAAGAACAGCTTCTATTTGTATTTAATTTAAAGTTGCAAAAATAATTAGTATCCCAATTCAGGTTTATTTACCTTTGTTGTTAATTAAGTTTAAAATATTGTGAGCATAGGCGATAGAACTATGCTAGTAAAATAAAGATCATTAAAAGGAAAACTATAAATAATTAAGCCTAATTTAAGGATGTGTTGCACAAATCATTTGTGGTTCTTACTTAATGTGATAAAATTGTCAGCAATAATTTTTAATGAATTTTTTTTAAAGATCTGGACTAACAATGTTTTCTTGTCAGCCAATTAGTTTTTTCTATAGGCCTAATTAGTCAAAACAAAAGTATGTTTTCCAGTTAAATAGTATACCAACAAATTGAAACAAAGGTTCAATTAGTTTCTGCTAATTTTATATACAAGAATCAGCCTAGAATCATAATTTATAACAGTAGAAAACTGTCCAAAAATGTTTTATAAAATTTTTACTTTTGAACTAGCTTTTTCTCCCTACTACCTACTCTAAATATTTAAAAAGTTATTTTCAATTTTTTAATGAGTTGTGTGAGATTTGAATCCCTGTAAATATTTATCTTTGTCACTCTGTATCTTCTAAAGTAATAATGTAAAACTTTTTTTGTTACCCTGTATCTCCTAAAGTAACAATGTAAAATTGCAGCTCAGGCATCCAAAACTTGACAGCACTATTAACCAACTCAATTTTAGGTTAATCAAGCCCAATTTTTGTTATGAGTCAATTTATATTTAAAAATATATCATTATCACCACAGAGAAATGTACATATTTAAATTAAGTTGAGTAAGAACCAAATATTTTTTATTTTCAGTGTAAAATATGAATATGAATAAAAAATAAATATTGTCAACAATGAGACAGTATTTTCCCATTAAAAATGAATAAAATGCACATTGTTTTAATTTAATGGGAAGTAAAATTTCTAATCCCATTGTAAACAAAAGTTAATGAAGCATTCTGTTTGATACATTCAATATATCCTGCATTTAATTATAGCTTGAACAACTTTTATTGTGATATTAATGTGTGGCTATTTTCTCTTCAACTAGACAACAGAGACCACCTGATCTCAGCCAGTAAGAATAGGGCGAGCATTAAAGAGAGGACGGCCCTGGCTCCGATCAACATGGCCCTGAGATTGAGAAGCTCCAAGTTTCGTCATGTTTTCGGCTCTCAGTGTAGGCGCGAGCACACATTTGAAAATGTGCGCATCACCCGCAACACACATGACAGCAACTTCTGCAGCGTGAACCCCAGGTTTTTGGCCATTGTGACTGAGAGCTCAGGGGGAGGCAGCTTTGCCATTTTAGATGTCAATAGAGTAAGTTCCCTTTCATGGGCTGGTTGCAATTTTAGATGTCAATAGAGTAAGTTCCCTTTCATGGGCTGGCAAAAGGCTTTGCTATTTTAGATGTCAATAGAGTAAGTTCCCTTTTATGGGCTGGTTGCTAATTTAGATGTCAATAGAGTAAGTTCCCTTTAATGGGCTGGATGCAATTTTAGATGTCAATAGAGTAAGTTCCCTTTCATGGGCTGGCAAAAAGCTACTCCTTGTTTTTTTTTTGTTACATAAGTTTACATAACACACAGTGTTACATAAGTTTACATAACACACAGTGTTACATAAGTTTACATAACACACAGTGTTACATAAGTTTACATAACACACAGTGTTACATAAGTTTACATAACACACAGTGTGACATAAGTTTACATAACACACAGTGTTACATAAGTTTACATAACACACAGTGTTACATAAGTTTACATAACACACAGTGTTACATAAGTTTACATAACACACAGTGTTACATAAGTTTACATAACACACAGTGTTACATAAGTTTACATAACACACAGTGTTACATAAGTTTACATAACACACAGTGTTACATAAGTTTACATAACACACAGTGTTACATAAGTTTACATAACACACAGTGTTACATAAGTTTACATAACACACAGTGTTACATAAGTTTACATAACACACAGTGTTACATAAGTTTACATAACACACAGTGTTACATAAGTTTACATAACACACAGTGTTACATAAGTTTACATAACACACAGTGTTACATAAGTTTACATAACACACAGTGTTACATAAGTTTACATAACACACAGGGTGCACTATATGTTGGGAATGTACACATTTTGGCCAGGAAAAGTTTTTTTTGTCAGATTTAAAAAAATTGGAACAAAATATTAAGTTTCCCTATTTGTCTTGCATTATGATGTTCATTCAAGTATAAAGTCTGAAATATCTCTTGATAATGTTTCTACTACTGATTACCTTTGTAAATCAATAACATAGTACTATAGTACTTGCATGTTGAGAAAAGAATTGTCTCCTGGGGGTCTGGTAAAGTACTGGCCCCTGTAGAACTGGGTCATGGGTCAAACAATGAACTGACCCCTGTATTGGGTAAAGAACTGGGTCATGGGTCAAGCAATGAAATGACCCCTGTAGTGGGTAAAGAACTGGGTCATGGGTCAAGCAATGAACTGACCCCTGTAGTGGGTAAAGAACTGGGTCATGGGTCAAGCAATTAAATGACCCCTGTATTGGGTAAAGAACTGGGTCATGGGTCAAGCAATGAACTGACCCCTGTAGTGGGTAAAGAACTGGGTCATGGGTCAAGCAATGAACTGACCCCTGTAGTGGGTAAAGAACTGGGTCATGGGTCAAGCAATGAACTGACCCCTGTAGTGGGTAAAGAACTGCGCCATGGGTCAAGCAATGAACTGACCCCTGTAGTGGGTAAAGAACTGGGTCATGGGTCAAGCAATGAACTGACCCCTGTAGTGGGTAAAGAACTGGGTCATGGGTCAAGCAATGAAGTGACCACTTTATTGGGTAAAGAACTGGGTCATGGGTCAAGCAATGAAGTGACCACTTTATTGGGTAAAGAACTGGGTCATGGGTCAAGCAATGAACTGACCCCTGTAGTGGGTAAAGAACTGGGTCATGGGTCAAGCAATGAAGTGACCACTTTATTGGGTAAAGAACTGGGTCATGGGTCAAGCAATGAAGTGACCACTTTATTGGGTAAAGAACTGGGTCATGGGTCAAGTATAAAACTGACCCCTGTGTCAGGTAAAGCTCCTACTGTCTGTAGCATTGATTGTGAACTGCCTTAATCTTGTACACTAATCTTTTTCAGCCTGGGAGAGTGGATGTGAACTGTCTTAATCTTGTACACTGATCTGTTTCAGCCTGGGAGAGTGAATGTGAACTGTCTTAATCTTGTACACTGATCTGTTTCAGCCTGGGAGAGTGGATGTGAACTGCCTTAATCTTGTACACTAATCTTTTTCAGCCTGGGAGAGTGGATGTGAACTGTCTTAATCTTGTACACTGATCTGTTTCAGCCTGGGAGAGTGAATGTGAACTGTCTTAATCTTGTACACTGATCTGTTTCAGCCTGGGAGAGTGGATGTGAACTGCCTTAATCTTGTACACTGATCTGTTTCAGCCTGGGAGAGTGAATGTGAACTGTCTTAATCTTGTACACTAATCTGTTTCAGCCTGGGAGAGTGGATGTGAACTGCCTTAATCTTGTACACTGATCTGTTTCAGCCTGGGAGAGTGGATGTGAACTGTCTTAATCTTGTACACTGATCTGTTTCAGCCTGGGAGAGTGGATGTGAACTGCCTTAATCTTGTACACTGATCTTTTTCAGCCTGGGAGAGTTGATGTGAACTGCCTTAATCTTGTACACTGATCTGTTTCAGCCTGGGAGAGTGGATGTGAACTGTCTTAATCTTGTACACTGATCTGTTTCAGCCTGGGAGAGTGGATGTGAACTGTCTTAATCTTGTACACCGATCTGTTTCAGCCTGGGAGAGTGGATGTGAACTGTCTTAATCTTGTACACTGATCTGTTTCAGCCTGGGAGAGTGGATGTGAACTGTCTTAATCTTGTACACTGATCTGTTTCAGCCTGGGAGAGTGGATGTGAACTGCCTTAATCTTGTACACTGATCTGTTTCAGCCTGGGAGAGTGAATGTGAACTGCTTTAATCTTGTACACTAATCTGTTTCAGCCTGGGAGAGTGGATGTGAACTGCCTTAATCTTGTACACTGATCTGTTTCAGCCTGGGAGAGTGAATGTGAACTGCTTTAATCTTGTACACTGATCTGTTTCAGCCTGGGAGAGTGGATGTGAACTGCCTTAATCTTGTACACTGATCTGTTTCAGCCTGGGAGAGTGGATGTGAACTGTCTTAATCTTGTACACTGATCTGTTTCAGCCTGGGAGAGTGGATGTGAACTGCCTTAATCTTGTACACTGATCTTTTTCAGCCTGGGAGAGTTGATGTGAACTGCCTTAATCTTGTACACTGATCTGTTTCAGCCTGGGAGAGTGAATGTGAACTATCTTAATCTTGTACACTAATCTGTTTCAGCCTGGGAGAGTGGATGTGAACTGCCCAAAAGTTTGTGGCCACGCTGGGGCTGTACTGGATGTCAAATGGAGTCCATTCAATGACTGTATCATAGCCTCAGGCTCAGATGATGCCACTGTAAGTCACTCAAGTTAGAGATGTCTTAGCCTGTCACTCAACTTATATCAAGTTATAGATGTCTTAGTCTGTCACTCAACTTATATCAAGTTAGAGATGTCTTAGTCTGTCACTCAACTTATATCAAGTTAGAGATGTCTTAGTCTGTCACTCAACTTATATCAAGTTAGAGATGTCTTAGCCTGTCACTCAACTTATATCAAGTTAGAGATGTCTTAGCCTGTCACTCAACTTATATCAAGTTTGAGATGTCTTAGTCTGTCACTCAACTTATATCAAGTTAGAGATGTCTTAGTCTGTCACTCAACTTATATCAAGTTTGAGATGTCTTAGTCTGTCACTCAACTTATATCAAGTTAGAGATGTCTTAGTCTGTCACTCAACTTATATCAAGTTAGAGATGTCTTAGCCTGTCAATCAACTTATATCAAGTTAGAGATGTCTCAGTCTGTCACTCAACTTATATCAAGTTAGAGATGTCTTAGCCTGTCAATCAACTTATATCAAGTTAAAGATGTCTTAGCCTGTCAATCAACTTATATCAAGTTAGAGATGTCTTAGTCTGTCACTCAACTTATATCAAGTTAGAGATGTCTTAGTCTGTCACTCAACTTATATCAAGTTAGAGATGTCTTAGTCTGTCACTCAACTTATATCAAGTTAGAGATGTCTTAGTCTGTCACTCAACTTATATCAAGTTAGAGATGTCTTAGCCTGTCACTCAACTTATATCAAGTTAGAGATGTCTTAGCCTGTCACTCAACTTATATCAAGTTTGAGATGTCTTAGTCTGTCACTCAACTTATATCAAGTTAGAGATGTCTTAGTCTGTCACTCAACTTATATCAAGTTAGAGATGTCTTAGCCTGTCACTCAACTTATATCAAGTTAGAGATGTCTTAGTCTGTCACTCAACTTATATCAAGTTAGAGATGTCTTAGCCTGTCACTCAACTTATATCAAGTTATAGATGTCTTAGTCTGTCACTCAAGTTATATCAAGTTAGAGATGTCTTAGTCTGTCACTCAACTTATATCAAGTTATAGATGTCTTAGTCTGTCACTCAACTTATATCAAGTTATAGATGTCTTAGTCTGTCACTCAACTTATATCAAGTTAGAGATGTCTTAGCCTGTCACTCAACTTATATCAAGTTAGAGATGTCTTAGCCTGTCACTCAACTTATATCAAGTTAGAGATGTCTTAGCCTGTCACTCAACTTATATCAAGTTAGAGATGTCTTAGCCTGTCACTCAACAAATATCAAGTTAGAGATGTCTTAGCCTGTCACTCAACTTATATCAAGTTAGAGATGTCTTAGCCTGTCACTCAACTTATATCAAGTTAGAGATGTCTTAGCCTGTCACTCAACTTATATCAAGTTAGAGATGTCTTAGCCTGTCACTCAACTTATATCAAGTTTGAGATGTCTTAGTCTGTCACTCAACTTATATCAAGTTAGAGATGTCTTAGCCTGTCAATCAACTTATATCAAGTTAGAGATGTCTTAGCCTGTCACTCAACTTATATCAAGTTTGAGATGTCTTAGCCTGTCAATCAACTTATATCAAGTTAGAGATGTCTTAGTCCACGGGTTCCCAACCTGGGGGTCGCGACCCCCTTGGGGGTCGCGAAGGTCTTTCTGGGGGGTCGCCAACTGGTATACTAAACCTTAGTAATTTGAAACAAAACATAAATATTTAGACGAATTTTTTAAAATTCGGCTTCATTAACATCACTGGAAATGTAATAGAGAAGAAACAAAGCGCACTGTACAAAGTTGTTCTCAGTCACGAATCTATGAAATCTTCAAAACTAAAACGTCATTTGAGACGAGTCATTCGGAACACACCAAAAAATATATGGAGTTCTTTCGTCGATAAGAAGCTAGTTGCAAACGCCAGAGACTTGATCGAACAGGAAGTTTTCACCAGCATTAGTGCAAGCATCAAATGAAGTCGCAATAGAAAATGCAAAGCAAAAAAAAAAATAAACAATAGGAGAAAATCTCATCAAACGCTGCATGTACGTAAATGTTAAATAACAAATTTTTATTGAAATTAAGCTTTCACCATTGTCTGCTTTTCAAGTTGATAAATCAACAGACGTGAGTTTGTGTTCGCAGTTGCTGGTCTGTGTCTATATTCATGCGGATGATAAAAGATAAAAGAGTTGCTCTTTTGTGAAGATTGCTTGGAGAAAATAAATATCTTTTTTGAAACTGGATGATTGAAATGGGTTAGAACGGCTGTGGGGGTTTGTACGGATGGTGCGCCATCTATGTTTAGCTCAAAATCGGGCTTTCAGAAAACAGAAAAGATTTAGCTCCCTAACCACTGCCCTAACCAATCGACATCAAGAGTCCATTGCTAGTATAAGTCGTAAATTATATAAAATCTGGAGCCTTCAAAGAACTGAGCAAAAACATTAATATAGATCACGAGGTTCTGCTCTTCTACACTACAGTACGCTGGCTGTCAAACGAAATGTTGTAAATTGTGTTTTTGAACTGAAATCTGAAATCAAATTGTTCTTGGGAGTGCAAAGGAAACAAGACATTTTGGTATACTTAAAACGACATAGAGTGGTTGGAGAGAGTATCATACCTAGCAGATATGTTCGAACATCAAGATAAGCTTAACCTGAAGCTTCAGGGAAAATAAACGAATATTATAACTTTCCATAATAATCTCGGGGCATTTTTATCAAAGCTGCAAAATCGGTAAAGAAAATAAATCTTGGAAACATTGTAAATTTGAGAAACTCTGCGGTGTGGTAGATGAATCTGATTGTGAGATAATTAAAATTTTGAAAGAAGCAATTTCTGGGCATCTTGAATCTCTTGAAAACGAACTGCATCGCTATTTCTCTGAGCTGAAAAAAAGAAGAATCTGCATTTACGCATTACCCATTCTCTTATTCCCTTGATGTTGCCAGCATTCCCGATGAATTACAATTTTTTTTTTATTTGCAGAATGATTCCGTGTAAGATGAAAAACTGCAGACACAATTTTGGTGTAGTATTCACCATTCATACACAAACGTAAAATTGATTGACTTTTCGAGAATATATTTTCAACACTATTCTTCGATTAAAAACAAAATTAAGATAATTATAATGACATAGGTTGGCGTTAACACATTTTTAAAAAAATTAAAAACTTAACCACGAAGGTTTAGTGAATAGTATGCAATTTTACTCATGCTATTAAAACAGTTATCAAGAGTAGTTCATATTGAAAGTCTACTAGAAAATCTTATTTTAGTGCTTATTAATTTCCATACTAATTTCGGCTTTTTAATTTTTTTGGGGGTCGCGGGTCACTTACTTTTTATAAAAGGGGGTCGCCACTCGAAAAAGGTTGGGAAACACTGTCTTAGTCTGTCACTCAACTTATATCAAGTTAGAGATGTCTTAGTCTGTCACTCAACTTATATCAAGTTAGATATGTCTTAGTCTGTCACTCAACTTATATCAAGTTAGAGATGTCTTAGTCTGTCACTCAACTTATATCAAGTTAGAGATGTCTTAGCCTGTCACTCAACTTATATCAAGTTAGAGATGTCTTAGCCTGTCACTCAACTTATATCAAGTTAGAGATGTCTTAGTCTGTCACTCAACTTATATCAAGTTAGAGATGTCTTAGCCTGTCACTCAACTTATATCAAGTTAGAGATGTCTTAGCCTGTCACTCAACTTATATCAAGTTAGAGATGTCTTAGTCTGTCACTCAACTTATATCAAGTTAGAGATGTCTTAGCCTGTCACTCAACTTATATCAAGTTAGAGATGTCTTAGCCTGTCACTCAACTTATATCAAGTTAGAGATGTCTTAGCCTGTCACTCAACTTATATCAAGTTAGAGATGTCTTAGCCTGTCACTCAACTTATATCAAGTTAGAGATGTCTTAGCCTGTCACTCAACTTATATCAAGTTAGAGATGTCTTAGTCTGTCACTCAACTTATATCAAGTTAGAGATGTCTTAGCCTGTCACTCAACTTATATCAAGTTAGAGATGTCTTAGCCTGTCACTCAACTTATATCAAGTTAGAGATGTCTTAGCCTGTCACTCAACTTATATCAAGTTAGAGATGTCTTAGTCTGTCACTCAACTTATATCAAGTTAGAGATGTCTTAGCCTGTCACTCAACTTATATCAAGTTAGAGATGTCTTAGCCTGTCACTCAACTTATATCAAGTTAGAGATGTCTTAGCCTGTCAATCAACTTATATCAAGTTAGAGATGTCTTAGCCTGTCACTCAACTTATATCAAGTTATAGATGTCTTAGTCTGTCACTCAACTTATATCAAGTTAGAGATGTCTTAGCCTGTCACTCAACTTATATCAAGTTAGAGATGTCTTAGCCTGTCACTCAACTTATATCAAGTTAGAGATGTCTTAGCCTGTCACTCAACTTATATCAAGTTAGAGATGTCTTAGCCTGTCACTCAACTTATATCAAGTTAGAGATGTCTTAGTCTGTCACTCAACTTATATCAAGTTAGAGATGTCTTAGCCTGTCAATCAACTTATATCAAGTTAAAGATGTCTTAGCCTGTCAATCAACTTATATCAAGTTAGAGATGTCTTAGTCTGTCACTCAACTTATATCAAGTTAGAGATGTCTTAGTCTGTCACTCAACTTATATCAAGTTAGAGATGTCTTAGTCTGTCACTCAACTTATATCAAGTTAGAGATGTCTTAGCCTGTCACTCAACTTATATCAAGTTAGAGATGTCTTAGCCTGTCACTCAACTTATATCAAGTTTGAGATGTCTTAGTCTGTCACTCAACTTATATCAAGTTAGAGATGTCTTAGTCTGTCACTCAACTTATATCAAGTTAGAGATGTCTTAGCCTGTCACTCAACTTATATCAAGTTAGAGATGTCTTAGTCTGTCACTCAACTTATATCAAGTTAGAGATGTCTTAGCCTGTCACTCAACTTATATCAAGTTATAGATGTCTTAGTCTGTCACTCAAGTTATATCAAG